TCAAATAAATAACTATGACCAACAAGAGAATGGTTGCCATTTGATGTCGTAAGCTCCCTATCAGAAAAATTGAAATTATGGGGAACAGCTTCGTGGAAATCTATTTTCATCTGATGATTGGGTTTGAATTTGTTCCAGAAAATACATGTCTATCGGAAGAGTGAGGTGGGTAGGCCTCTCCTTCTTCAATATATTTAGGTTAAAATAGGTTTAGAGTAAAATAAATATAAACAAGTTTTTTGTGGGGAAAGAAGTGCCCCAGTCGCAGCTGGGACATGCTAATGGATAGTGCTTCTTTCTGCTTTGTCTAGTGACAAAGTGGTAGGGAGAGTCCAAGAATCCAAGGTAGTGGCGGGGCGGGGTCGGGGGGGATGGGGAGGCATGCCTTAGGCAATCAAGCATCCCCTGGGAAGTGACTTTGTTCTTTCACTGGGAATGCCTCTCTGGGTCACCACCTGGAAGAAACAGCATTTATCTCTTCCCTATCTTTTTCCAGCTGTTTCCGAACATACATGTACCCCAGAAGACAGACAGACGTGCCTATATATATGTAAAGTCAACGAAGATCGAGAGTGAGCCTGAAATCAGGTCTGAAGGTCAGCCATCATCACATGAAGGACACTTGTAACATCACCTGGAAGGTACCAACCCTCTGTCTCATTTTACAGAGGGAAGTAAGGCCCCAGAAGGATCTCTGACTCCCCAGAGGTTCCACAGCTAGTGAAAGCTCGGGTGGGCAAGTTCTTTTTTCTCCCTCTGTCTCCTGATGGGCATCACTGGGGAGATATTACGTAACATCATTCTTGCCTTGGGGCCAGAAGGCCAGGGGGTGTTGTGCTCATTAGTTGGGTAATTCTGGCCACCACTTTTGAAGCTGCCGGATAGGATCACAGGTAAATATCATTACCCTCTGCAAATGAATGTTTCCCCACGCACAACCTGTTCTCACTTGCTGCCTGGGGCCCCTGGCCACTTGTGGCTGCGGAGATTGCTGCTGAGTGCCGGTTCCCAAGCATCCATTTACTGCCCGGCTTCAGAAAATAGAAGGGCTGGGTCTGGGTCTTATTATTAAAAGCAAACAAACCCATTATTAAAAGTAAACAAGGCAGAACTGCTTTGAAACAATTGATTAAATGTCTCCTGGCTCAGTGGCCTAAATTCACCCCTGTTACCCCAAACAAAGCCTTCCATATTGAAAATCTAAAGAGAGAATGCCAGCAGTCTGGTTGAGAACCACCTGCACGTTTGCACACGCGCGCGCGCGCGCACACACACACACACACACACACACACACTCTTGAGTGCCTGTTACAGCTTAGGCTCAGGAACCACATCATTGTCTCTAATCTTCAAGATTTAGAAGTAAGAGTATTTTGCGTTTTTAGGCACCTGGGTGGCTCAGTTGTTAAGCATCTGCCTTCTGCTCCGGTCATGATCCCAGGGTCCTGGGATTGAGCCCCACATTGGGCTCCCTGCTGGGCAAGGGGCCTCTTTCTCCCCTCCCACTCCCCTTGCTTGTGATCCCGCTCACTGTGTCTCTCTCTGTCAAATAAATAAATAAAATCTTAAAAAAAAAAGTAGAAAGAAAGAGACTATTTTGCATTTTATGAATGGCATGGGCAGGCCAAGTAATTTGCTGATGGACACAGCTATAATATGGAAACATAGCATTTGAACTTTAATCTCTATGACTCCAAACTCATGTCAAATCTACCTTAGCACATTACAGACAGGTCTCCTATGCCCCTGTGCTTACTGTTAATTTAAAGAAAAGCCCAAGACACAAGAGAAGGAAACTTGCATCTGCGCTGGCAAAACCTCCTGAAATTATAGGCGTGTTTGCGGGGTTGCTGGAGAGAGGAAGCCCCGAGCCACCTCCATCACTTAAATGTGCAAAGCGGGCATAGCAAAGACTATCGATGTTAAGTGGCTGGTGTTTAGTTTCTTGCCCCTAATTCCCCAATTCCCTAATTGCCTAATTCCCGGGCCATTTTATATACTCTGCTGTCCAAAGAAACCAGAAAGCAGGTTTGTAGGTGCAGAACTTGGCCTTGTCAGTGAGTTAATGGACTCTCAGTGATAGACCCCTGCTAGTCAGATTTACGAGAGAGATATAGACAGAATATTAATTATAGTATTATAGTAGAATTTTGTTTACCTGGGAGTCTCAGTGCTAGAAACATCGAAACAAGAGACTTGTTCTAAAATAAATTTTAAAATTTATAAAATCATGCTACTGGAAGAATCCATAAACAGTTTGCTATGGGTGCAATGCCGGTAATGGAGGGGTTTACCATACACTCAGCGACTAGCTGCGGATGAGACAGCTGCCAAATCTCTTGATGTAGTTAGACGGTGTCACTGTTCTGAATAGACTGACATTAGAGCTACTTCATGTTGTGAAAAACCTAATGAGATTATATGGACTAAGAAACCATTTATTGGAAAATGGTCTAACAATTCCCCCAAAAGTTTGCAAATAGATATTCCATATGACCCAGCAATTCCACTATAAATATATACCCAAGAGAACTGAAAATGCATGTCCACACAAAAACTCACACATGAATGTTTATAGCACCTTTATCCATAGTAGTCGAAGAGGAAACAATTCAAATGTTCATCAGCGGAAGAATGGATAAACAAAATGTGGTCTATGTCTACAATGGGTTATTCAGCCATAAAAAAGAAGGACGAACAGAAATGTGCTACGACGTGGATGAACCTTGTAAACATCACACTAAGTGAAAGAGGCCAGATGAGAAAGGCCAATGTATGATTTCATTTACATGAAATGTCCAAAATAGGCAAATCCCCAGAGGCAAAGAGTTGATCAGTAGATGTCAAGGGCTGGGGTAGGAGAGGTAGAGGTAAATACTAATGGGAAGGGGTTGCTTTGATGAAAATGTTATAAAATTTGTTGTGTTGATGTTCACACAGCTCTGTGAATATGCTTAAAAAAAACACACAGTAAAATGTTTACATAGGGAAATGTTGGGTTTTGCAGAATGTATGGTATTTTCCATTTTTTTAAAAGATCTTATTTATTTGACAGAGAGAGATCAGAGGTAGGCAGAGCAGCAGGCAGAGAGAGAGGGGGAAGCAGTCTCCCCTCTGAGCAGAGAGCCCGATGTGGGGCTCGATGTGGGGCTCGATCCCAGGACCCTGAGACCATGACCTGAGCAGAGGCTCAACCCACTGAGCCACCCAGCTGCTCCAGTATTTTCCATTTTTTGATAAATACAGTTGTCTCTGATTAAATTATATATAACTAGGTGTTTTTCAATTGCTTCATGTGGTATGTTAAAAGTAAGGGGTTCTAATATGCTTTTCACTCTTTTTGCTGCTATTCTAAGCAGAACTTGTATCTTACTTACAAAACTCCCCTTTTTCTCATTGTGATTGTATGAAACAGAAAAAGCTAAGCTTGCGAAGAGGAAGAGATCAGATCCTGGACAGTCTTGTTCTATAATTTGCAACGGGGATGTGTGCTCCTCTGCAAGCCCCGTTCTCAATATCAAGGTTATTCAATATCAAGGTAACTAATTTTGCCAAATTAGGAGTCAGCAGGCATCCTGGGACAATATAAACAAGGAGAAGGAAATCAGATGCTCCTGGGAGAAGTGTGGCTCAACACAGAGTAGATGATCAAGAAATGTCTCAGGAATGGACCGAACCGTCCCTACCCCAGTACAGGGCAGGCACACCTTCCTGGTGACTTAGAACCATTAGATAGGATCCCTCTTCCTTGAACAGTCTCTTATACTTTCCCCCCTCTTTTACATCTTCCCTATGAACCAGCCTCTCTATGGGATTGCCATGGTCAGATGCTACAAACCGGCCTGCAGAGGAGACTTTAAAAACTGGGAAGTTTAAAAATATTTAGATCTTAGAAAACTTCACATCAAGATGTTAAGTTTCAGCCCCTCTGGAAGGAGTGGAATGTGCGGCAATTAAGGGCACACCTTCTGGCTTGGCCTGGGGCTAGAGCACGAGCTCCCCCTGCTCCTCTTACGAACTTACAGTTGGCCTGCTTCACACAGGTATGCTGCCTGGCCCCCTTCCCCCCAGACAGGATGGGCTTATGACCCCGCCATTCCAGCCTTACTTTGGCCTGGCTACCAATCAGTTCATGAGGGTAGACCTTCTTTCATTAGTTTCCTGCCTCAGTGACACATTCTGTACACCAAGTTTCTATTATCCTTGGGCGCACCACAGGTCACCATCCACCAACACATAAAAAACAACTCTTACAGTGAATCACCGCAACAGATAGTATTTGTTGATTCTTGCTGGTTTCATTTTCAAAAAGGCCTCCAATTTGTAAATTTGAGACACTTTCATCTACTGACAACTCCCCAATTTTTCCAAGGGATGGAGGGGGTAGGGACTCATAAAAATTCTGCTCCTAGGTCATGAGGGGGAGCTCAAACCAATTTTATCTCACAGATGAGCCATGGTGATGATCAGTACATGTTAATAGCTAACCTTGACTGAGTATTCACTGTGTGAGTACATCCCCTTTAGGCCTCACAAACCCTTGGGAGTCTGCACTTCCATTATCTATTTTATAGATGAAGAAACTGAGGCATGAAAAGCTGGGAAGCAAAGAAGTCAGATTTCATACCTGGGCAGCTTGACTCTGAGCCTACCCTCTTCATCACCTTGCACAGCTGCCCTGTGCAAGGATCCTTTGCAAGTCAGAAGCGTCACAGACAATTGCCTGGAGTTTCATGGCATCCCTGAGGCCTCGCCTCGCAACCTGGACACGCACTGGAATCTCATGAGGGACCCCCAAAGCACACGGAGACACATAGGAAATACCGTAATGGGTTAACATTCGGGAGAGCTACTGCAGGGTGAACGTGGAAGTCTCTGCACTCTTCTTGCTTGTTTCTGTACATCTGAGATTATAGCAAAGTAAAAAAAAATTAAATGAAAAAAATGTATTGGAATAATATTAATTGACCTGGAGTTTTTTTTTTTTTTTTTTTTTTTTTTTTATAAAAGGTAGGCTACATTTATTTAGAGTCACAAGCACTTGACTGACTTGGTGTGACTCAAACCACAAGAAAACCATTCTACTTCACTCCACTCTGAGTCCTAGGGTGGCCCAGACTGGCAGGAGTGCTGCGTGGGGCCCATTCACAGGTTTACAAGTTTCTCACTGAGGGCAATCTGTGACTGCGTGAGATTGGCCAGGTAGGTCACCATCAGCAGGTCATTGGTGTTGCTGTTGAGCATGGTCTCAAAGTCAGCAGGAACTATCTTGGGTACTTGGTTAACCAGACTCATCAAGAAGCGGCCCACGGTATTGTCCGCTGACACCTTTCCGGACAGCACATCCTCTGCATACTGCAACACTGTGCTCAGGGCCTCCTGGATGCGAGCTGATGCCCCTCCTACTTGCTGCAAGTCACTTGAGAGTCCAATCACCCGGTTGGGGCTAAAGCAGGTCTTCATGATCAGGTCAACTCCAATGCGCTGGGTGTCATAATATGCATATTTCACTGTGAGAGGTGTGAACATCACCCCCATGGTTCTCCCAGGGACACCCATTAAAGTGCTGACATAGGCCTTGATGCTCATGCGGCCATTCTGGAGGCTCGTGTCCACAGTGAGGTGAATGGGGTTGGGGGCTTCCCGGCTGTAGTACTCATGGATCAGCACAGAGTGCTCTGTGATGCCATGGCCTGTAGCATACCAGCCCAGGATAAGCTCATTTGGAGAGACTTTCTTGTGTAATTCATACATGTTCTTAGCAAATTCCATGTCAACAGCCGCCTCATCTTCTGACTCGTTGTGCGGCACTGAAAAGCAGTTAGTCACCTCCACTGAATGCTTGTCAACGGTTCCCAGCAGGGTCCTGATAACTCGGGCAGCGCCCTCGTTGCGTCGCTCGTAGCTGTCCACGATGGAGGCCAAAATGACCGGATGCAGCCGGACCACACGGCCGCCGGGGAAGGGGCCTGGGAGGGCAGGCCCCGGCAGCGACTGCGCCGGAGTCTGCGCTGAGGCCGGCGTTGAGGCCGGGGTCTGGCCCGGAGCCGCAGTCGTAGCCGCTGCAGTCACTGAGTCTGAGGATGAGGCTGGAGCCGGCGCTGGAGCTGGGACCGGCGCTGGAGGCTGAGCGGGCGCTTGCGCTGAGGCTGGGGCTGGGGCCGGGGCTGGGACAGAAGCTGGGGCCACGGCGGTGGTCCGGGCGGGGGCTGGAGCTGGAGCGGCGGAGGGAGCACTCGCCGGTGCAGCCGGTTGTGGCCATCTTGTCGAGCCAGAAGGACGACCTGGAGATATTTCTATAGGATTTAAAAAAAAAAAAGATTTTATTTATTTACCTATTTGAGAGCGAGATGGAGGGCAAGTGGGCATGGAACCAGAGGGAGAGACAAAGCAGACTCTGTGCTGAGCGTGGAGCCTGATGCGGGACTTGATCCCATGACTGTGAGATCATGACCTGAGCTGAAACCAAGAGTCAGATGCTTAACTGACTGAGTCACCCAGGTGCCCCAGGATTTGTTGATGGTAAGAAGTGTTAACAGGAAGTGTTTTTTAAAAAAATATTTTATTTTAAAAAAGATTTTATTTATTTATTTGACAGAGTGAGTGAACCTGAGCAAGGAGAAGGGGCAGAGGGAGAGGGAGAAGCAGGCTCCCTGTTGAGTGAGGAGCCCGATGCAGGGGTCAATCCCAGGCCCCAGGGATCGTGACCTGAGCTGAAGGCAGACATTTCACTGACTGAGCCACCCAGACCCCCCAAGAGGAAGAGTTAATAACAAGATGCAGAAAAGCCACTGTGATGTGATTCTCTTTGTGTAAAGCAAATAATGACAAAATATGCATGCACACATATGTACACACATACATATGACTCTATGTTCTTATATGGGGATGGAATGAAATGTGTAAAATACGTTCAAAAAAATCTGGAGCCCGGTTCCCAGAGACTCTACTTTAATTGTTTAGGGGTAGGACCCAAACATGAGTGGCTTCTTTCAAAATTCCTTGGATCAAAGTTCTCAAATTTGCTGCACATTAGAATCGTTTGAGGAGTTTTAAAAAGTCCTGATGCTCAGGCCATGACCCAGATGAATTAAATCAGGCTCCCTGGTCATGGAACTCAGGCACAGGTGTTTTAAAATTCCCCAGGGGATTCCAATTGCCAAGTCTGGGGACCAGGCAGAGCTCCTGGTATATATGGGGCTGAGAATCACTTCTGAGAGGGAAGGGAAGTCCTTTGGGTAGACTACTACGGGGGAGGCATTTGATATCTACTTTAACCCTGGAAACAGGCCACGAATCAGGAACCTGCAAGGAAACAGGCTGTCTCCAGAGATCAAACAACCTGCCAGAAGTCTCAGAGCTCTGAGGTGGTGGAGGTTATCCTGAACAACCCTCTCCCAGGTCAAGGAGGGTGATGGGAGTGGCTTTGAGAAGGCTTCCTGCTTCTCAATCTCTCCTTTCCGAGATCACACGACTTGAAATTCCTTTAGTAAAGCTTCATTCCTCTGGGTTCCTCCTCCTAGGAGCTATTTAAGGGAAAAAAAAAAAAAAAAAGGCAAACACTCCTGGGAGGAATTGCATGTTAGTCAGATCTTGATGTCTGCCTAGCCAGTGCTGGGCATTTTGAAGGGAGAAGAGAGTTCGAGGGATGCTTAAATCTGGGGAAAGAATGTGATGTAGGGGTGTCAATATGATGTCCCTTTTTTGTTCAAAACCCCTCATTCACTAGACTTACTTCATCCTGTGTAATTGACACTTTGTGTCCATTGGCTAGCAACTCCCCATTACCGCCTTCCCCCAACTCCCGTGCCTGGCAGCCATTCTACAAATTTGAGTATTTTAGCTAGTGGAATATAAGTGGGATCATGCAGTATTTATCCTGTAGTTGGTTTATTTCCCTTATCACAAAGTCCTCAAGTTGTATCCATGTTGTTATGTACTGCAGGATTTCCTTTGAGGCTGAATAATATCCCATCGTCTGTATATACCATGTTTTCTTCATCCATTCATCCATTATGGGCATTTAGGTTGTTCCCACATCTTGTCTATTATGAATAGTGGCTGGGTATTACGAATAAGCTACATCTATAAGATTTATTGAGTGCTTACTTACCATATGCCAGGAACTGTTTTGAATGCTTTACATATGTTAGTGCAAGTGAAAGTCACTACAGCCCTATGAAATCTTTATCCCCACTTACAGATGAGGAAAGCGAGGTCCAATTAGTTTGGCCCAATGTCATAAAATTAGTTAGTAGGTTGTAAACTGGAGTTTGAACCCAGTACAATCAGGCTCTATAAACAGTGACCTGATCACTATAATACCAATAGTATTAAAAATCACAATGATAATGACTGAGAGCAAACTGTATGTCAAACACTATTATTGGCAAGGTGAAAATGTGACTTACACACCCGCATAATCTTGGGGACAGGATCCAGCACGGTTTTCCAAGAGATTGGTTAATTCCAGAAGTAACGCTCCTCCTTACGATTTTTGGGAGAGAGGTGGAGACGGGTTGCAATTAAGAGTTGGGCAGAGTGGCCGAGGGTAAAATTACCTCCTGTAGCTGTAGTATGTCCAGCAAGCATTTTCTTGATTCATGCAGTTTTTAAAGCCAGAACTTTACCTATTAGTGAGTGAGTCTGACACAAGTCTACAGCATTTTGCTTTTTTTTTTTTTTTTTTTTTTTTTTGGTCTCCTCCCCAGTATTTTTCTCTTGTGCTTTGTGCTTCACATGATCAGCTCACAGGTCAGGGGATTAGTCAAGAGCTAGGTGCTTGCGTTTAAAGGTCTTTAAAAGTCACTCATTTGATTCCCTTCTTCTTTGCCTCTTTGGTGGCAATCTAAATGAGGGCTCCGGCTCTGTGCAGTTAGGCGGTGGAGCTATGAGAATGAACCACCAGCCTCCAAATCAGCTCAGGAACATTTACGCTCTTTCCAGGTTAAACGTACCAACAGGGCTCTCTGCAGTGACACCAACACCCAATGCCCCCAGTGGGCCTGGGAAACACACACCCCCCTAAACAACAAAAAACCCCATCCAAGTCACAGGCAGTCAACGATATCCCGAAATCAAAGACAGTATACAATAGCTCAGGGCCATTTATTTTGCAATGGCAAATCGATCCACTTTCCCAGCATCCTGCAACTTTTATTGAACTGGGCATCTAGCCATAGGATACGCCCCCAAACTCTCCTTAATTACATATTTGTTAATTACAAATTAATTACAAATTAGGAATGCTGTCTGCAGTCGTGACTGACGTTGCAGTCCTAGTATCACAGAAAGGGCTTTTTTTCTCAAAAGGCTGCAGCAGTAGCAGTAGCAGCAGCAGCAGCAGCAGTTTTCCCGCCCTACTGAGCGCTCACTATAATATGCTGGGCACTGCGCTAGGCGTGCCACCCGGCAAGGCCGCGGGGAGCGGCGGTGCACCCTCGGTTCCCGGCGCTCGCAGCCATTGTGGGGTGGGCGCTCGACCAGCGGCGCGCTGACACGCCCTCTCCGCGCGGCGACCCGCTGCCAGGGCAGGAGGGGGTGCTCGGTGCGTGCTCCGAGGAGCAGGCGGCTCCCGCGGGGGTGGAATCCTCGCCGCACCGCCCGCGGGTTCGCCTCGGCTGCGTGCGCTCCATGCGCCTCCCGGGCACGCGCTCCTAGCCCCGCCCGCGTGCGGCGGACGCACGGCCGCGAGCGCGCGCCCTCCCCGCGCCCCCGCGGCGGACGCACGGCCGCGAGCGCGCGTGCGCCCCTCCGAACGTCCCCGGGAGCCGCGCCAGAGCGAGCGCCGGGGCCGGGCGCGCAGGAGTGAAAAGGAGGCGGCGGCCGCGGCTGCGAGCAACAGATCGGGACGCCGCGAGCAGACGCGTTCTGCTGTTGGGCGATTTTTTTTTTTAATTTCAAAAATATTATTAAATTAGAAAATCCTGCATTTTTAAATGGCGCTGGCCCCAGGTCAGCGGGCGATTTTCTCTGCTTCAAGATGGGCTTTGCTGTTTCTGTCGTGGGCACCAGTGGTGGCCTGATTGTCAGTCTTCTCCGGGCATTTTTAAGGCCAGGAGCCGAGCACTGCATGTAGGCGAATCACCCTGCAGAGCAGTTTGGCTTTTAAAATTATTGTTAGTATTTGGGGCAGAGGACAGCCGATCTTGGGCACTTCGTCCCCTTTGCAGAAGAGGCTGTGAGTCGGAGGTGGGTCGCTCGGAGAGTGGAATTGCTCGCGGGTGAGCGAGCCCCGGCCCCGCGCACGGTCCAGGCGGCCCCGAGTGTGTGTCCTCTCCCTGCCGGCGCCGGGAAAATGGAGGCTGTGATTGAGAAGGAATGCAGCGCGCTCGGAGGCCTCTTCCAGACCATCATCAGCGACATGAAGGTAGGACGCCGGGGGCGCGGCTGCGGTGGCCGCGGTCGCGGCCGCGCACGGACCTCGCTGCGGTGCTTCGCCTCCACCCCGGGCCATCCGCCCGGCCCTTGCCTGAGCCGCGGCCGCCGGCCACCTGCGGGAGCGCTCCGGCCTGGTGTCACCTGCTCACCCGCGGCGCCGCTCCGGGCTCTGCTGGGTCACCGGGCGGGCTGCTTCTCTGGGGGTGTCTGATGCCCCCTGCCCTCTCCACGCTCATTGTCCCAGGGGGCGGCACCATCTCGTTTCCATGGGGGCGCAGGGCCCCGGGTCCAAGTTTTCCATTGTCTGTCGCTGGACGGAGTGTCTGCGACCCGTGAAGACTGGGTCCCTGGGCGGACACCTGATTCCCCCGAGTCCGGGGTGGGGAGGGGGCGGCTGGCGCGGTGGTGGGGAGGGATATGGGGGCTGTGCCCGGCTGCGGGAACTGCCCCCCCCGGTCCGAGAGCCTGGGAGAGAGGCCTTCCTCTCCCTCCTTGGCTTTCAGGTCCACCTGGCGGGGGGGAGGGGGGAGGATCTGAGCAAATTAGGCATTAATTAGGCTGTTCCTAAACTGGTGAGGGTGTGCATGCCTTCCCTCAGCCCTCCCCGGGGCCGCGGAGCAGAAGTTCCCAGAGTAGCCTTGCTGGGGACCCTCCTTCCACTGGCTGACGCTCCCAGCCTGAAGGCAAGATTGGGTTCTCCTAAACAACTGTATTTCCCCACACACCCACCCAACATACACAGACTCCAGGTTTTCTCTTGGAAGGATTGTGAAGATTGTGTGTGTGTGTGTGTGTGTGTGTGTGTGTGTGTGTGTGTGTGTTTCTCCCCGTGTGCGCGCGTGCGCGTGCGTGTGTGTGTGTATTGGGGGCGGGGAACAACACCCTGGTTTTTTCCTGCAAAGGGTGGGACAGGGGATAACCTGATCCTTGGATGTGGATTTTCTGGTGCATAGAGATAGACTAGAGCCCTGGGTTACTCATCCAAAGGAAATATAACCAGCCTCGCGAGCTGGCTGGAGGTGGGAATTGGAGGCGGTGGGGGATTTTTTTTTTTTTTTTATGTGTATTTAGGGAGCTTCTCTTTGGCTCTTACCCAGCCCCAGTTTGCCTCAACAGATCCGGGGAGGTGGTGTTTAATTAAAAGCTCGGCTTCCAAAACGAGTAGGCAGGTTGGGAAAGCTGTACAGCCGGTGGGTGTGGACAGCCCCTCTTCAGCCGCTGCCTGGGCGTTTGGAGGAGCTTTTGTCTGATGAAGTGTAAGGTTTAGAGAGGGTTTGGCCTGGGAGATGGACTTTGTGAAGGAATGCTCAGCTGTCACGCCTGCTTCCCCCTTTTAGAACCAACTGCCATCTCCCCACGGGTGAACTTTTCCAAGGTGCCTCCATCCTGGTCTTGGGCCTCCTACAGAGCCTGTGTGTGGTGGTTTTTTTCTTTCTTTTTTTCTTTTTCTTTCTTTCTTCTTCTTCTTCTTCTTCTTTTTTTTTTTTTTTGTGAGAAATTGACATTCGTGTAGCATTATCTTCATCTAGACCCTGCTTGTCCAGGAATGCCTCTAATCCAGCCACTTGGAATTAGATGGATTATTCCCTGTTCAAAGACTGCCTCTTTCATTCCTTTGCCCTCAATCCACATTGACTTATTGAAGTGCTCTTTTGAGACAAAGATCGGTGTCCCCGCCTCAGACTCTGGGGTATTGCTTGTTAACTTAAATTCTATACACCTTATAATCAAAGATTTGGTTTGAGGCACACGTGTATTTTGATCACCAGGGGAAGAATTTGAGATGGGTTGGTGAAGTTGCTTGTGTGTGTGTGTGTGTTTAAAGAGAAATGGATGTTTTCAGTCCCTGAGTAGTAACAAGGACCCAGTGACCTAAAAGTTCTGCCCACTGCAGTCCCGGGCGGGATCCAGAGTTTTTTTTTCTCTCTCTTTGTTCCTTAATCCACAATCCATCCAATCTTGGTTGTTTGTGTTTATAGTTTTGAACCCAAAGCCTTTCAGAAGATAGCCCACCACAGGATCGGCCCTCTGTTGTCTGCCTGCCAGCCCGGGGCTGCCCTCTAGCATTCTGGCCAGGGGAATTTGTGGGTGCCAAGGTGGCCTGTTTTTCCCTCTGCAAGATTCCAGTTTAAAAATAAAGATTTATTTAATGCCCTTTCAGTGCTGGATCTATAGTTTGTGGTTCCTGACTTCTTTCCCTTTGAATTTAGTAGGGTTTGTTCAACATCCTGTGGGAAGGCATTTATTTTAAGGTTGTTTGTTCTGTTTTGGCAAAGATTTGAAAAGCAAACTGGAGGGAAAGACTAAAACTTGCCTCAGGTCTGCAGGATTCCAGACTTTTGGGGAGTAGAGATAAGGAAAAAAAAAGCGGTAGACTGATTTCCAAGACTGTTTACAGCAGAAGACAGTTGTTGAATATTTTAATGGAGTTTTCTTTTTAAAAGACTTCTTCGTGGGATGGATGGCAGTGGCATTTTAAAAGGGAATTTAAGGGCGCCTGGGTGGCTCAGTGGGTTAAGCCTCTGCCTTCGGCTCAGGTCATGATCCCAGGGTCCTGGGATCGAGCCCCCGCATTGGGCTCTCTGCTCGGCAGGGAGCCTGCTTCCTCCTCTCTCTCTCTCTGCCTGCCTCTCTGCCTACTTGTCATCTCTATCTGTCAAATAAATAAGTAAACCTTTAAAGAAAAATAAATAAAAGAGAATTTAAAAAAATCTGGGCATAATAGGATAAGCAGTGCATGAAGTCACCACTAATCGAAAGTCAGACTTTAATATCTGAAGTCAGCTGGCTTTCTAATGACAAGTTTATCCTCTTTTTTATCTTCTCTGAACTGCCATGATGGGTTTCTGATGTCTTTGGTCCCCTTCTATCTGCTTTGAAGGACAAGTGTAAATGTTAGAAACCCATTTGGAATGCCAGCTTGAGAAAATTTTTAGGTTATTTTCTCAGGAGTAATGCTGGACTGGGGTAAGGAAAGGGTAAGGAAAAAAAATTTTTTTAGTAGCATTTGATTCTCCAAAATGTACAGCAACACAGGAAGGGAGTTAATTTCCTCTTTGGAGAAAAAAAAAAAAAAGAAAACAAAAAAATTAAGTAGTATCAAGGCCTAACACCATACATCTTCCAAAACCAAAAACCTCAAGACATTGAAAAGCTGGAGAGGAATCTTCTGCTTTTTTTCCCAGTGATCCTTCATCTGGCTAAATCCTCAGCTGTCAGGGTGCTGGAAGGGTGCGGAAGAAACCTTCACCCTTCTTCCACTGGGATCTAGCAGCAGCTGTTAAATAACTTATTGATTCCTTGACGGGAGGAAACCTTGTGTTTTTTCCCTGTCTTCCACCCTACTGTGGCGGTGGCCACTAATGATGGTGGTATGCAGAATCACTTACTGGCTGCCTTTCCGCCCATCCGCATAAATCAAGTTGTCTGGTGTGATCTGGTCCCAAAGGAAAGGGGAGATGAGATTCACGTGGCTGGAGGCTAGGGCCCTTCGCCTGTTTGTCTGGGGGAACAGTAGCTTGACTCTGTGGAAGGCCATTTGACTGGCTTCTGATGTTTGACAATGGTTAGACATTAAAGAGGTTCTAGAATCTTTCTGGAGTTTCCATCCAAGTTCCAAGAAAAACAGGCTAAATGCTGCCAACAGCAGATTTGAGCCGTTACTTTTTTTTTTTTTTAATTTATTGAGATATAATGGACATATAACATTATATTAGTTTTAGATGTACAGCACAGGGATTTGATACTTGCCGTTTTTAAAAATTATTGTTTTTTTAATTTATTTACTATTTATTTTAATGCTTCGGTAACTGAACCAGGAAAGAATTTGGTGAGGTTTGGGGAGCTTTTAAGACCAAGCGACTGGCCAAACTCAAGGGCAAGTCACTGTGGATATCTTTCTTCTTTTAATAATTAACTTGGGTTTTTTTGTTTGTGTGTGGGTTTTTTTTTTTTTTTTTTAAGTTGGATGCTGAAAACCAAATATTTTCCTCAGCCTTGTTGCACAAGAATCACGTCAGGAGCTGAACTGGGCCTGATGCAGGGAGAACTTTGTACTAGGTTCGAGCATGTGCTGGGGGTTATGTAATGGGACTGGGTTGGGGGGACACCCAACCACACCTCGAATTCCCTACCCTACCTTTCCCTGTAGAGAGGGGTGTCCTGTTACCAACACCTGTGCTGAGCAGAATAGGGGCCTTGTTCAGTTCCTCTCCACTGCCCCCTACCTCTGTTTGCACTGGTAGCCTCTCCTAAGTTCTGCCTAAAATTAGAGCTGGTAAAGGGACTTCTTAAATTCCATGGAAATCTTTTGTGGTTCGAAGGCATGACACGGTATTTTCCCCCCAGTTATCATAGATCAAGAATGTGGGTATTGGGTCCAGCGCTGGATAATGATTTCAGGGTTGTTCCCCCTGCCCTCCCCGCACTGCTCTGGCTTTGGGGTTTCTGTCAGACAAGAGGCTCCCTTCCTCAGTGTTTATCGAGGGCCTGCTATGTGGAAGGTTTCTCTTGCTGGACAGCGAGGAGTCAGAGAACCAGCGAGGCCTGCCCTTGGAGAGCTGCTTGTCCTGTGGGCCCAAAGTAGGTAACATTAAGTAGCCTATGGGGGCCACGAAGGAAGGGCATAGATTAGTTTTTGAAGGACTTCCCTTTGACTCTTCAAAAAAAAATTTTTTTTTTTCTAGAAAGATACT